CCCCCAGACCCCTCCAGGGCCCCCCAAAACTGCCCTCCAAGGACCCCCAATTACTCCTCCTCAGAGACCCCCAACCCCCTCAGGGACCCCCAACATCCCCCCCCAAGGACCCCCAAACCCACCCAGAGACCCCCAACCCCTTCAGGGACCCCCAAACACACCCAGAGACCCCCAACCCCCCACCCAAGAGCCCCCAACCCACCCCAAAGGACCTCCAAACTCACCCAGAGACCCCCAAACACCCCCCCAAGGACCCCTAAACCCACCCAGAGACCCCCAAACCCCCGCAGACACCCCCAAAAACCCCCCAGGGACCCTCAAACCTCCTTCACCTCCTTCATCCTCCTCTGCCAAGCCCTGGGGGGGGCTCGGGGGGGACTCCAGGAGGGGTCACACCCACTCACACCCCCCTCCACGACCCCCCAGGGGCGAGTACCTGGTGTACGAGAAGGACAACGAGGTGAAGGCGCAGAAGAGGGAGTGGAAGAAGTACGAGTTCCACTACGACAACGTGCTCTGGGCGCTGCTCACCCTCTTCACCGTCTCCACCGGCGAGGGGTGGCCGCAGTAAGGGCGGATTTCGGGGGGGGACACCAGGGTTTTTGGGGGGGGGGACAGCAGGTGATGCCAAAAACCAGCAGAAAATAACTGCTTGGAGACGGTTTTGGGGTCTTTAAGCAGCAAAAGGTGTTTATTTCGAGCGACGTCGGGGAGGCTCGTTTTGGGTGTTCCGGGGTCCTGTGGGGTCACCTGGGATCACATGAGGGCACCTGAGGGTCACCTGGGGCCAACTGGTCAACAGGGGCTACCTGGGGTCAATAGGGGGTCCTGGGGTCGTCTGGGGTCACCTGGGACCATCTGGGTCAACTGGGGTCACCTGAGGGTCACCCTGGGGGCACCCTGGGTCAACTGGGGCCAACTGGTCAACAGGGGCTACCTGGGGTCAACAGGGGCTACCTGGGGTCAACAGGGGGTCCTGGGGTCGTCTGGGGTCACCTGGGACCATCTGACTCAACTGGGGTCTCCTGGGAGTCCCAGGGGTCACCTGGGAGCACGTGGGGGCACCTGAGGGTCACCC